AAGTGACACCCAGAAGGTTGGGGCAGGAGGGTCCAAGAAGCATCCTTGCAGGCTGCTCCATCTAGGGCTTCCTCTCCAAGGAGAAAGCCTAGGACGGAGGAGGGCCAGCATGCTGCCACCCCACCCCCCAGCTGCCTTCCAAGTGCAGCCTAGACTCTGAAGGCATGGCAGGGGGAGAGAGGGCAACTGCCTTCTGAGTTCAGAGTGGACTCGGAAGGCATGGGGGAGAAGCTGCCCTTTTGGCCCCACTCCCCATAAGCCACGCACCCTGGAAGCCACACACACATGCCCCGCACTGAGTGATATTCCTGGCTGGGAACACTACTGTGCTTTTCACACTACTATGCTTTTCCCAGTTTATTTGGCATGGGCATGTACTTAAGAACACAAGCAACTGTTCATCAGTTGATAGATCTATCCCTAGTATACACATTCAACAGTGCTCAATAAATATAAATATAGTCCATATGGTCAATTTTTCAGTGCTTGCATGCATCATTGGTTTCCCTGTGGTCAAAACTCAAGTACTTTATGAATGCATGAAATCTCTTCAGTCATTGCTACTCTAAGGTGGCAGTGCCCCGATTAAAGAGCCAAAGTTACTCACAGATCTCATTTTGTCCCCACAGATCCATGAGGAGCAACGGGCCAATGTGCTCAGCTCAGGATTGGACTTACACCCTTGAATTTTTGTATGATTCCTCTACTTCCATGCCATGAAATACATGCCACACCTCTCTGTATCACAGTTTATGCAGTAAAAAAACTACATTCTGTGAGGAACAGTTCAAAGATTTATAGCACTGTGTCTTTGCTTGCATTCTTCTTGGACCATGCACGATCCCCAAATATGCCTCTGCTTGCTCTGCAATGTTCTGTAGATGTTTCCACCTGATCCTTCTGTTTCCACCACTCATGACATCAGTATCTTCACTTGGTCCTTCTTGGACAGGATTAAGTGCAAACTTTCCTACTTTTGAGCAGAGGGAAGGTTTGCTTCTCATGTGAGCACACTCATCAGCTTCAGTTACAAAGCAACATGGGGTATTTTTATCCCATTACATTGACCCTGAATGGAATTAGCCAATGGCTAAATGCAACAAATTTGTTGTTATCATTTTTGTCATTGCTGTTTTGGTCCACAGCAGTGTGGTGCAGTTGTTTGAGTGTTTGACTAAGACTCTGGAGACCAGGGTTCGAATCCTTGCTTGGCCATGGAGGCCCACTGGGTCATTACACTCTTTCAGCCTTAGAGGAAGACAATGGCAAACCTCCTCTGAACAAATCTTGCCAAGAAAATCCCGTGATAGGTTTACCTTAGGGTTGCCATAACTTGGAAATACCTTGAATACACACAGTAACATACACAGCAAGTTGCTGAAAGGGAATTGTTTAAAACTCTTTAAATGACCATGTTGTAAAAGGCTTACCTCACAGGACTAGCTCTGTATGAAGTCTGTAACAAAATATGATTCTAGAGTATTACAATGTATAATTGGTACAATGTTGCCAATGAAGTTTAAATATCACATATTCTAAATTTAGTAGGCCCCTCTGTTGTAAACCTGGTGATACACTCCACTTTTGGAGAATGAAGCCAGTATATATCCTGGAATGTTTGGGTTTATCCTTCCATTTAATCTTTTAATTCACATTTGTGGCTATGTAGAAGATTGGACTATCACATTACCCTCATAACAGTTTATTAAGTACCAGATCCATATTGGTCTGCTATTATTCATTGAAACTCTAGCTAATTTTTTTGTAGTTCATCCTTGTTTCAAAGCTTGATGGTAGTACTCATTCTGAACACACACACACAGCACATCCCTCAGGTTTCAAAGTCCAGACTTAATATAAGCTTAAACCATGGTACCTTGTCTTTCCCACTGCAGGGTCCAAATGCTAAAGGACAGTGTGGGTTCTGCACACTCAAAACAGGAGAAAGAGTCAATCCTAATCTGAAACAATTATTTTCAGAGTTTTTTCCCCAACTGGCAGGCAAGCCAATGACAACTTAAACAATTACAGTACTCTAAACCTATGCAAAGCAAAGCAGTAGCACACAAGGTGTAAGGCTCATATAGAAATATATAAAAACTTTATAACAAGTTTGTGCAGATGCACTTAGAAAAATCTGTAAACATTCTAAAACAAATTACTTTTAAAAAGAATACTCCTCTCATCATAACTATCTATAAAGAACCAAACCAAAAAGGCAATTATAACAAATTCTCTCACTGTCTCTTTTTTCTCTTCCAACTCAGATGCCGACATCCCAGGAAACTGTTTTCTCTAAAACCATCAATCTGCTCCTGACCAAATCCATAAGTCTCTACTCATTCCTTAACTGACTGATATAGTTTGACACAGTTGATCATTTGCTCTTAGTTGATTCCTTTTTTGCTCTTGAAAGGTGCTTCTTATTCTGTGATGGGCTGGCCACACAGTTGAGATTGTATACGTGTATCTGTGTGTGCATGCCTTCAAGCTGCCTGTTGATTTGTGCCAATCCCATTAATTTCATACATAGAGTCATAAGGATAATATGTTTCTCATACATTAATGTGTCATCTTCATGCAATAGTAACCAATGAGTGTATGGTCAAAATCAGAACCATTGTTCTACAGAAAAAGTTTGTTATTTTTTATAACAGAATGCTGGGGGGGGGGGAAGCACAGATCAAATTCCATTAAAAATGTACTTATCTTTCAATCTACAACACACACACATGAATTACACCCTACTACAAAGTATATACACCGCCTTTACACATCAAATTCTTGTATTTATTTATATAATTAAATAAATAAATATTTAAATGGCTGCAGCAGGAAAAGGCTGCTTATGCAAATGTTACAATAAAACTTCTATTGTCTCAATCTGGGGTAGGCTTTAACATATAAGCCTTCTGTTTCTGAACAAAGGAGCAAACCTCCTCATCCTACAGCTCATATTTATTGGACAGCGTCCCCATCTCAAACACACCTGTTGTCTCCATTTCTCAAAGAGCAAATCTGATAAAAGACAATGTTCTGGGAATAGATGGACAGCAGAGCTGCTCCTGCTGTCATCTTCTTCCCTTAGATAGCTGACTTGAGCAGTTGGAGAAAGGTTCAGTGCGTAGTTGGGTTCTTTCCAATAGCAGTCACAGCTCTCGGACTTAGCAATGGAAACACCTTCTCCCTACACTACATCCATGAATAGAAAAGGTAGCAATGTATGAATCAGGAGGATAGAGCTGCTCTTGCTGTCACCACAGTTTTTCCCTCAGACTTTTTTTTTGCCAGATCAACAAATAATCAAAGCCTTACAGCACATTCCTCTGCAAAACTGCTTAGAAAAAAGTCAGGAGTACAATCAGAATTACTCTAAAGAAAATGTGTAGGATTGCAGCCTCAATTTTCAACAAATACACACATCAATTTCTTATCCATCTACTGTTTGACAAACATGAACATTCTGTTACTTAAAGTATAAACCTCGTCTTCTCTAAATTAACTGATAACAGAGAAACAAACAGGTTTAGATTATACCTATAACATCACCACCCAGAATAACTAGGTGGCTAACTGTTTTAAACAGTGCAATTCTCACACAGAATGTTAGGTAATTGCTATGTACAAAGGCTACCTACTCTATGTCTTGTCAAGGAGTTATCCATATATATGGATTAGATTAATTGCTGAATCAGCCATTTGGATCCATATTTATTCATACCTAGAGTAGATTTGATTAATTCTGGCTTGTTAGACAAGTTGTGTTGAAGGAAGGAACAATAAAAGCAGAGCTTTAATGAAAGGAAAGAGGCAGAAAAGTGAAAGGATGAAGATGTAAAGGGGGAGTACTATGTGTGGTTCAAAAACAAAATAGAGACACAAAAAAGAGAGCTCAAGAGAAATAATGAAAAGAAAAGAAAGTTAACAAATCAAAGAAAAGAAGACACATATTAGGGGATGAGGAAGGCAAACAATATGGGTTGGAAGGAAGGGCAGTTAACAAAATACAAATTTACAGAAATATGAGCATGTTGTTCAAGAGACAGCTTAAGTAGAAGACAGAGAAATGCATCTTTAAAAAATATGGTGACACTTTAAAAACCAACAAATTGATGATACCATAAACTTTGGTGAATCAAAGCATACCTCATTAGGTACATCAAATCTATAATTAGTTTGTAGATACACATATAAATGTGGAGCCCTATAACAAATTTTGCTTGGAAAACTTGAAATCTCCCATTTTTTTGGAGACTATGGAAACCCTTCTCACTTGCTAAGCAGGAGCCTATTAGCCAACCCAAACTGCACTATGAAAGTTGTCCTTTCTTGGTCTGGAGGTCACAATGGGCAGCCTCTAAAAAGTATATACCAGTAGGGGTGGGGAAATTTTCAAATTGTTAATTAAGAAAAAGCAGGAATATTGTGTGTGTGTGTGTGTGTGTGTGTGTCCACTCTCCCCTCAGTCTTGGCAAGAGGGAAACAATGAAAAACACTTCTGTTAAATATTTTCTCTTTTCAGATGAGTAATGTAACAAAGTTTTACTCACTCTAAATTTGCAATATGAAGACTTTTATGTAAGACACCCTATATAGCATTACTGAAGAACGCCTATATACAGTGCAAGGGGATCTTGTTGCATGTGGAAGTTGTAGCATAAGTTTTGTAGACTTGGCCTACTTCCTCAGATGCATGGAGTGAAATGATGCCCAGGAAGAACTTTTATAATTAGACTGTATGAATACCTATGGGTGGGTATTCAGCATTAGATGCTCATTGAGAGACAAGGGCAGGAGGGAAGTTTTTGCCTATGGCCAAAGTAGGTGGGTGTCCATATGAAATGGTGGAAATGGAGGAAATCCATCAATGAAACACATTTCTCTGCCCACTTTTCTGTACACACTCATCCCTCCACATTTGTGGCTTTGACTTTTGCAGCTTTGCTTATTCATGCATTTTATTAATATCTTATCTCTAGGAATATCTAGGTCCTCCAGTGCAATTCTATGGTCAATGTCTGGCAGGTTGTTTATGTCACAGCTATTACCATGGCATTCAGTGGTATATGGGAATTATGATTTACAGGTAACATTAGTGTAAAAAAATCATTACTAAGGATTCTGTATGGGAGGAGGAGGAAATGGGAGGAGGAGGTTGATGGGGGGGAGACACCAATCCTGGATAAGAGAACTCTCCCTCCATTCCACCTCATTTTTAGGGAGAGAAGGAAAAAGAGGGGCCAGGGATGTTCTACACTCGTCCCTCCACATTTGCTGGGGTTAGGGGCACAGGACCCCTGTGAATGTGGAAAAACCACAAATAACAAAAACACTATGTTTTGACTTGAAAGAACTACTCTCTAGGAATCTCTAGGTCCTCCAGTGCAATCCTGTGGTCAACATCTGCCTAAAACTGACCATAGAATTGTGCTGGATGAACTACAAATGCCTAGTGGAGTGTTCTCTCTAGGAATCTCGAAGTCCTTCAGTGTGACTTTTGGTAAAAGTTGACCACAGAGTTGCACTGGAGGACCAAGATATTCTTAGAGAGAACATATTAATAAAATATGTGAATAATCAAATCTACAAAAGTCAAAGCTGCAAATGTGGAGAGATGAGTATATGTGGATATATAGAGACATTAGGATAATAAGTGTTAATCCTTTGTATTATGTAGAATTAAATTGATTTGTATATGTAATAAGATATACATAGTTTGGGGGGAATGTAGTTTTATTATCATGGAGTTCTTCTAGTATAGGAAGTTAGGATGTGATAGGTATGTATGAGATTTGTGTATTGTTTATCTGTTTGTATGTACATATGTAATGTATGTATGCAATGTATGTATGTACCGTAAATTTAAATTGATGTTTTTAAATGTTTTTATGTTAAAATTAATACAAATATATTTTAGTAATAATAATAATGGCTTAGAAGCAAAGAGAGAGAGAGAGAAGCCCTGTTAGTAAAAAAATAAAAATAAAAATAAAAAAAATCCCCCAAACCCAAATAAACTTATGCTTTCTACAGGATTAGGACATATGACTTTCTTTTTTAACTGGAAATTTAAAATGCTTAAATTTGCTAAACTATTGTGGATTCTGGATCAAGCTAGGACTTACTGTTTGAGATTTGTTCAGATTTTTTTAATACACTGGTTACTATCGATGCCTTGATTACTATTTCATTGTTTATTTCATCACAGTACTTTG